GAATAAAAAGATTGAACGTATACGTATATGGCTAGGGTTTTCCAAGTTTTCCTTTCACGACGATTTTCCCGGAAAATATTTCATGGAAGATAATGGAAATGAAGTAACAATATTTGGAATATAGTCTATATTTACTTGTATGCACAATCGATCTCGAATAACGCTTATAAGGGTAATTATGATAATGAGGTCTCGAATTAGAAACACCTCCATCGATCCGATTCCCATTCAGAAATGAGAAAGTGAGAAAGTGAGAAATTCAAGTCGCGATAATGCACGTAACAAGATAAAATTTAGGAAATACGAGTGCATCTTCCAATCAAGCAACGACCTTATTCGTCACACGCGCCAAATTGACGCAGACTCGTAGGTAGGAAGCGTTGCCACCTACCAGCCGGACGCTCTTTCTCTCAAGCTACGCCGTTCCGATTATATTTAGCCCGAGTATTACGCGGTGCTTATTTAAAGAAACGGGAAGAACGATTCCCTCTTTCCTTCTCTTTTATTCACCTCATCTCGTCTTTTTCCCTCCTCTTATCCCTCCATTTTCGCAGTTATTCCCTCACTCTTCCTCGGAGGAAGCCATCCGCCACCTCCCCCCCTGCCCCCTCTTCCTTATTCCCACCTTATTCCACGATACGTTCGTGTATCGTATGTCGATACGGGGGAATCGAATCCTCTCCGTCTCTCTGGCCACGTTTCCACGGCATTCTTTCGCGATGCGTCGCCTCTTCGTGGAGTAAATTTTAGTTACGGCCCTCCTCCTCTTTCACTCCAACTATCTTCGTCGCGGATGGAATTCCTACGTTTTCGTCGCACACTTTGTAACACTTTGTACTCTCGCGATGAGCAGGGAGAGAGGGAAGGAGGGAGGCAAGGAGGGACGGCTGGCTTCCACAATCGATGTCTCTCTTTCTTTCTCCCGCGTTGATACACTGGACTATTACTCTGGACTGTGTTTGTCTTTCGTCTGAGTATATGGTTGAAGTTTACTCGCTCGGCTTAGCTCGATGGCGACTTTGTTTAATTAGGTTCGATTCGATTTAAGTTTTTTTTTTTTTGGGAGGGAATGGGTGATGTGTTAGAATTTGATTATTTCCATCTTCTTATTAGATTTATTTGTAAATAAGATAATTTTTATTCGCTCCGTATATTCTGACGATTTGAATTTGAAAAAGAGAATAATGAATTCCAGGATTGATTTTGTAATTAAAGGGTTAAAAAGAGGATCGTGGTTATTATTCTTTTTTTTTTTTTTTTAATAAATATAATTTATATAACATATTTCAAATAATTCCAAATGTATCTAACCTTCTGTTCTTTTTAACGTGTATTTCAATCATTCGAAAAAGTTTTACAATATTAATGGAATAAAAGTCAAACGTGGCACAAAGATATATAAATATTCATTTATGGAAAGTTGAAACTATAACGAATATAAAAAGGTATGGAAAAATAAAATATTTTTACTTCGGTATCACTTTATCATCTTTTTCCATGACAATGCTCTTTCAATTAAGTTGTCAAAAATGATTTTTATTCGTTAATTATAAGAAAAATTATTATTTGAATTGTATTGATTTATTATATCTTTGATTATTATATCTTGATTTATTATATCTTGTATTGATTTATTATATCTTTAATAAATATTTTACTGACATATAAATTATCAAAAATTTATTAATATATTATTAGCAAGTTTCCCTATACGTTGATGGAAAATTTATAATGGAAAAATTATAAGGATAGTTGTTCAATTAATAATTATACAATACCTTTCCTTGAAAGATAATATTTGAAAAAAATTTTTGCTTCCTATAAATTTCCAAACAAAATTATTCATAATTTAAATTGCATTCCTTTCAATCATAAAAGTTAAGCTATATCTGTCATACTTAACATTTCACATATTAGTTTTGCTTTTGAATATCCTCCTTACCTTTATCTCTCTTCATATTCTGCATACTTATATACATAGTTTATGGTATGAATTTCAAAAGTATGCTATACTTATTTTTCACGTTTCGCATACGTACATATAATATAATTTCTAACTATGTTATAGAGATATCGATATTTTATTGTGTAACTTGATGAATAATTTTTTGTATACCAACTTTTACGTTGATCTGGAATCCTCCAAAGGTGTCCCATAAATATATTATCACCTCGTACAGGTAGACGGAACGACGAAAATAAAATAACTCATCTAAACAAAACAAAACAAAAAGGAAAAAAAAAGTGAAAAATTATTCAAATTAAAATTTGTATTCGTATAGAAACTTTTCATATAGTTCTTAAAAAACACGATGTATTATTTTTTCGATCACGAAAAGAAAGAGCAAATAAACCAACTCTTTTATTCGTTCAACAGAAGATTAAGAGTTAGTCCATTAGCAACGTATTAACTTTAGACTGTGTCGTAAAACAATGAAAGCAACGAGTATCAAGTTAAACAATCCCATCGTAAATCTATCCCCAGCGTAAACTATGTACTCAAGCATCCTCTTTAGTCTCGTGTTACGCGAAAAATTTCGATTTATTCGTGTGACTTATCGGGGATAATTCTCCTCTTTTCCTGGGCCATAACTATCACGAGAAGCTTGTCGACACTCGGCACACAACCTGTAACATCCAGCATCTTTGAAGGGATGGTAAATGCCCGTTGCAATCTTCCCGGCGGAGGGCATAAATTTAGCGACAGCTTTAAGATGTTACACAATGAGAACGGACGAATATGGCGGATATTTATTGCGAACATAGCAGTTCGAGATATCGACCACGATTTATCACGAGTAACGAAAAATATTCAACTTCAAGCGCGATCAATTACTTTTGGCCATTTCGTCCTTATTTCGTTATTAATCTCGCATCACAATTTCTCCTCACAATTTTTTCCAAATGTTTTCCATGTACATATTAATTATTATTTTATAATTATAATTCTATAATTATATATAATTTTTTAATTGTATTTTATAATTATTGTTTTATATATTGTTTTATAATCCTAAGCTTCTCCTTCTTCTTTTTGTTAAAATCCTATTTCAATATAGCGATATCGCATGTACTGGCTTATTTTCCTGCGAATTTATAATATATTGTAAATTAATTGCAACAGTTCAACAGTAAATTGAGCCATTAACATATCGAAAGCTGTATTTTAGCTGTACTTAATTACGATACGCACACGTATCGTTGTATATCGATAACCAATACGATTGCAACAACAGATTGTCAATAATAAACACCGAATGAATGTTTTTCTATGGTAGTCGCGATCGTTTAACCATCGTTTAGGAAACAGACTAAATTTCCAAGCAAAAAGCAATCAGTTTTTGCGTAAAATACTCTTGATCCCAATTGCGAGCCTCGTTGTTAAATATAGTCCGCTAAGTGGAATGTATTTAAAACGGTTTGTTTTCGAATGATCGGTTCGTTCCGCTCAAGTGCATCAGATTTATTTTAAACGAGCCTTTTTTTTTATGCTGGACAATCATCTGATTAACGACACGTAACGTCTATCGTTCATAACCTCGTTTATTTTTCGCTTATTTCTTTGATAATTAATTCGTATCGACAAGTGGTGATAAATTGCTGTTATGTTTAAAACACATTTTTAAAATTAGATTCAATATATACATATATTATGAAAGAATGTAGTGAATGTAGTTTCTTTCTATGGAAATTTTATTTCTAATTTTCACACAGGATATTTAACTTATTCAAAAGTTGAATGAATGGATGAGAATTTTATGAGATTTAGTTTTTGTTAAGCTTACATTTTAACAGAGTTACGCGTTGAATGAAAATGTTAAATTCAATTAATCGATTATTTTATAAAGCTCGCAATTAATAAAAAGAATTTAGATTGATGTGATTAAATTAAATAAGTTAATTACATGTATGAAACGTTAAATCATTAATCGATGATTAAAAAAATATTAATTGTCGTTACTTTGTAGTAATAATTTCATTGAAATGCAATTTGATAGGTAGAGAATTACAGGATTTAATTGTAATTCTATTTGTTATACGAATATGTGTTACATTATACGAAAATTATTTTCAATTGTTACTGGCTTTCGAAACATTTATATCCACAGTATTTGCACAAGCATATTTTAATATACAAAAAAAAAAAAATTTATGAAAATTGATTGAATATATTCATACTTTTTATGCGTTCATTTTTTTTTTTATTGACAAAATTTTCTATGAATATATTATTTTGCAGTATAATAGATACACGAGATAAATTATTCTGTTTTGATAAACTATCAACGAATGAAAAGAAAAAAAATTATTAAATTATTATTAAATTCTAAATTTTATCGAAAATGCAGTATTTTCGAAAAAAAAATTCTAAAAATCTCAATGTTTATTGTTAAGAATATATAACATATAAACAGCGACTATGTTATGGTTACAAGGTGAATTATAAATCGATCGAATTCAGCCTTGATTATAAAGCCTTCATTTTAAATATTCCAGTATATTTAGAAAGATAACCTTTACGTTCAGATTTACTCATCGAGTCTGAAGTATGTCCGCATGAATCGAGGACATTCCATTCAAGATCGATTATTTGTATTAATAAATGCAGAAAATCCACGAACAAGAGAATATGATGTAATCCTACACTAATAACAGAATACAGATAATGATCGTACGTTAGAAATATTGTTCCCTTCTACTCAATTTTCCAATCTTTTACACCGAACAATATTTCAATATTGACTTCACGTATATACCATACCATTACTGCGATTCGATTTTTAAAAATACTATATGAAACGTTGAATAAATTTACACGTTTCCCATATATACGTAATCCTTAAACGCGTGAAACAGAAACGAAGTAACCCAAGCTGCTGCGTATATCTATATAGCTTTAATACCATAAAACTAAAAACGGAGAATCGTCGTTCTCTCCACACCTAATAAAAGAAGTTGGCCAGCGTGGAATAATGAGAGAATGGTGTGGAACAACTCACCGAAACACTTGGTCTGTATCCTCTTATACATCTCCCCGCTGATCTTTCGGTGCACTATCCTCTGAGTCGTCGCCTGATACTTTTTCCTGAAGTTTCTCTCGCTCTCGGTCGACTCTTGCGAGCCCCTCCTCTCCTTCGCCACGCTCTCCCCAATTTCGTCGTCCGTTTCCCTGCCGTCCGGCCTCTTCCACACGTGGCTCTCCTCGAAATCGCCGATGTAAATCCACTCGCTGCTCGTGTACGGCTCCACGTACGTGTCCTCGTCCTCTCGACCTTTTAGACATTAGAACTATAAACAAAGAGTTTTGGAGACGGTAAAAAACTTTCCACGAGAAAAATTTTCGTGGACGTGTTGTCGTTTCATATCGAGAATGGAAGTTTCTTGAAGATGTATAGTATATATATATATATAGGATTTGTTGAATCTTTTTGGTGGATTTATATATTATTCGAAATTTTTCTTATTCTTCATTATTTCCAATATTTCTGTCTTAAGAAACTAATATTCCATGATCGATGTATTATTTGAACAAGTAATACAAATTATAGGTTCGAATTTTTATATTTTAATCCAAGCGTATATATAATATATATTAAATAATAATGAATATTCATTCTATTATTATCGAACCATTTTATTAATACGCAGATGTTTTACGTATTAATGAAGGATAAATGATGTCCGGTTGTTAAATATTTTTGCGAATTGAATATATTCCGCGTATTTTCTGTACGTGAATGATTTTAAATTTTCCAACAATGCCTTTTATTTATTTTTATTTGCTTTTTATAAAATTTAGAATAAAGTATTACAAAGTGAACCGATGCACCCTTTCTCGTGTATTCGTGTTATTCGAGCACCGAAATATTATATTTTAAATTACATTTTACGCATTCAACATTTTTTTAATCTCTACTGACTGAATTTTTATTAATTTATAACCAACATATTTATATTTGTTATTTCACTTATCTCCAATTATATTATAATTAAAAACGTTATATATATTTTTTTAATAATCGTAATCAAAATTTACTAACCAAGCAACCTCGTAAAGCGTGTACAATTTTCTTCCCTAATTTTACATCTCGTTCTTTAATGTTTTTTTTTAATCTGTACTCCGTAGAAATTATTATTCGATCGATCCATAATGAAAACACCGGGTGAATGAAATAGATCTATTAAAAAAAAAAAAAATTAATAACACTTTGTTTCTTGATTAAAATCGATCGAATCTTAACAAACGGCCCGACGACTAATTACCTTAAAGGAAGACAAATGATACGAGAGAATCAGGATGAACTTTTTTAATTAATGAACGCCGCGGTATTTCGCTAAATTTTTTTTTTTTTTTTTTTTGTTTTAAATCGCGTTTTCATTAATGTAACTTTTTACAAGAGGGTGATACCTATCCACTTTTATTATTCTCGTTTCACGGAATACTTTGTACGCTCATTTACCTTTCATATTCGTGCCAGAATATGAAAGCAGTTAATAAAGTTAACAAAGTTTGTGTAATGTTTTTTTTCAAATTTTCTTTTTTTTTATCGCAAGAATATTTTAATAATAAAATAAAACGCGATAAGAAATGGAAAAAGTTTCGTTGCAAAAACCTTTTCAAGTAATCCTTACGTAATAATGATAATTTATCATTTATTGTTGTAACCAATGATATTGGTAATACCAAAAAAAAAAAAAAAAATTAAATTAACTCGATAATTCCAGTATGTTGAATTCTATTAATTTTAATTATATTTTGAAGAAAATTTCTGGAGTCATCTAACAAGAAAAATGTCGTTATTAAGAGAGAGACATACGACAAGCCGTAAAACATTTCCTCCAGAGTATTAAGATTTAATACATCCTCTCATGTCCGATTCTTTTCCCATTACTCTTGCACCACGATATATATTACCAAAGCCTTAATCTTCAATATTCTCGTATACAATCCTAGAGATATCCCACGAGATTTCTTAGATCTAATCCCTTTATCTATATCTCTCTAGTAATATTTCACACGTACCAAGGGATAGTGGAACACTCTGTATACGTGTATAAAATTTTATAAAACGTGAATTGAATCAATATATACAATTCGTGATTGTGAAAATCACAACAACTAATATTGTAGATTACCTATAAGATATAATAACATATAATACAATCCATTCTCCAAATTATGCGATTCCAAGATTCTGTTTCGAATCTTTTATCTTTATCTAAATTTATTTCTCGTGTTAAAATTCCAGCACAAGCTGGATAATAATTCCATTAACATCGATACTTTACAATTATGAACGCTTGAACGTCCATCCACAACTCTTGGAAGTATCAATCTGGAAGTAAACTTCCAAATGAAACTTGATCCTAATTAATCGCAACAATATCAATTGCGAGAAGAAGCCACCCCCTCCTTAAAACATCCTTACTTCGATATTATACCAATACCAACCAGTAAGGATCTCCAAGCTGACATCGGTGCTCCTCGCGTGAAGCCTCTTCCTTCCAGCGGCTGTGTCGTCGATGGAACCTCTGCTCCCTCGCCTCGACGCCACCCTCTCCTCCGATTTCGCCCTGACGTCCGATCTGCCCGCGCTGCTGCGCCTGTGCCGCCTGTCCCCACGATCCTCCGACCGGTACCTCTTGTCGAATTTCTTGTAGAGACGGTGGCCGGGCACGTGCTTCGACGTGGAGGATCTGTGCCCTTCGGGGGAGTCCGCGAAACCTGCCGGCGGTCGAACGATCTCTTCCGAGACCTCGGGGTGGAGCAACACGACGGCACGCACGATAGAGAAAAGAGGTAGATAGACCGACAGATAGAGAAGACAGATCGATTCGAGATTCCATATTTTTCTTTTTCTTTTTTCTTTTCTTTTCCTTCTTTTTTTTTTTTTTTTTTTTTTNTTTTTTTTTTTTTTTTTTGGTGGTTGCTGGAGACGGTTCAGTTTTAAGTCGAATTTAAACTGATTGATTCTTTTATCTTTTTTTTTTTGGAATAATTTTTTGTTTTTTTAAGGAAACATCTTTAGGAAGAAATCTTAAGATTCTAAAGATTCTAAAGAAATTCTAAAGATTGAACAGTAAGTAGTTATTTGTAAAGTTATCTCGGTTCATCTAATCGAAACTTACTCAACAATCATGGAAATTTCTGTGCACCAAATTTCATATTTGTTTTTCACTTTTAGAATCGATTTTCCAAAAATGTTTCATGAATATTAACACCCAGAGTGTTATGTGGATTTTTATGAGTTTCTTTTATCTAATTAGCGATTCTTTTTTTGAAATAATTTTTTAAGGAAACATCTTTAGGAAGAAATCTTAAGATTCTAAAGATTGAAGAACAATTCATCTAATCCAAAGTTGAAGCGCTTGTTACTCAACAATCATCGAAATTTCTGTGCACCAAATTTCATATTTATTTTTCACTTTTAGATTTTCGATTTCGTTCCAAAAATATTTCACGAAATATTAAGCCCAGCGTGTTATTTTTATGAGTTTCTTTTATCTAATTAGCGATTCTTTTTTTGAAATAATTTTTTGTTTTTTAAGGAAACATCTTTAGGAAGAAATCGATTCTAAATATTGAAGAACAATTCATCTAATCGAAAGTTGAAGCGCTTGTTACTCAACAATCATCGAAATTTCTGTGCACCAAATTTTACATTTCTTTTTCATTTCTAGAATCGATGTTCCACGGAAAAATGTTCCACGGAAATGTTAACACCCAGCCCATGTCACGTTACTACGTATTTTTATGCGTACACGTGAGAAATTGACGCCAATCACCAGAAACAAGTAGGAAGAAAGGAAGAAATTCAAGACTGAAGCAACGGACTAACCCACTACTCTATACCACTACTTGATCTAATTCGTGACACTCGACTTATAATATAATATAACCTCGATCCCGCAAAATGGAAAAATAAAATAAAAAAAAAAAAAAAGAAAAAAAGAAAATAGGGAGGGATTGAGACCTGACGAAGAAAAAAAAAATACAGCCCCTATCGTGTACCATGCCTTCGAACTTGCTTCCTTTCGCAAGGAGGAAACCTTGACAAAACACAGCGAATGAATAATTTACCTCTCTGCCGCAGTGGTGGCAATGGGGGGCGTCAAGGGCGCCGATGGTCAAGCATTGGTCCGCCCCCTCGCTGTAGAAAACACTGTCGCTCCCAGGGCTGACAGACCTCAACGATTCCGCTGAAAGAGCCTTTAATCTGGCCTCGGGGCTCTGCGACTCGACAATCACCGCCCTTTGCCCGTTGTGCCCCGGACTTCGTTGATAACGGCCCGGGCTCAACCTCGAGCACATTATGTCGTCCGCCGCTCGCGACCTCCTTCGTGGCAGGCTCCCCGTTATGGCCGCGTTCTTGTCCTTAAATGCGAACGTGGAGGGGGAGGGGAGGGTTAGTTATTGCCATTGTATCCTCGTGTCGAGGCTCACCCCTTTGAGCAAGTCGAGGAGGGGAAACATTTGCAACGAGTTTGGGGAAATTGGAGTAATTTGAAAAATTGTTAAAATTGTTAAATTGTTCCCTATTTCACGTTGCACGAGTAGATCGAAGTTTTCTGAATTTTCATCCTGAGATGCGTGATTAAGGTGTGCATAATTTTTGGAAATACGATTAAATATTTTTGGTGTCTTGGAAAAATGGTACGATTGGGGAAATTTTATTTAAAATCGAAATATTTGGATTCGTAAGAAGATTTATAAATTTTTTAATGAGAGAAGATAAATTTTTTTTTTTAATAATATTCGATTTGTTATTTTTTAAAAATATTCTTTATATATTTTTAGATTTCAATCAATTTTCTTCGAGCACATGTCTACGCATCTCTTCGATCAGTTCTTTTTTTTTTTTTTTTTCTAATAATTGATTCGTGATGGAGAGGTTTAGTACCACTTTTCCACTCAATTCTACAATTGTTCTCGTGCCGATATTAATTAATTGTGCTTTGAAAGATTTGATCGAGTGCTTGATCTGTATTTATACCTAATGGGAGTTTCAATTAATATAGTTCTTAAATATATTAATAGATTACACTATTATTTTATCGCGAAGAAATTGATATTATTTTTTTTAAGAAATTTGACATCTCGTGTTCGCGATAAATATTATAAACAAGAATTGGAGTACATTTATCAAACATATTAAAATATTAAACAAACACCATGCAGGATTTTTAATAGTATTTAAAATAGTTACACACAAATTTCGTACTTTACGTATAAAAATATTTTTTAACGTTAAAAAAACGAAAGGAAAAAATTAAGAAATTTAAAGAATTTGAAAATATGTCTTACTGGAAAATCCCACTGATTGCCAAAAGATAATTTCATATTGAATATTATAATTTTCCTCCCAGATATTACAAAAAATATTTTATACTACCATTATTCACGAAGAATTATATTTATAATACATTCTCAAAATTTCAAATTTTCATTAATTTGAAAATATATACTTATACATCACTGTTTCACACGTATCTTGCTCCAATATTTTCGAAATACAAATTAAAATTTCACAATAGCTCAATATCTTTCGTGTTCAATGTACAGAATAAAATATACCATTGCAAAAATAAATAAAATAGGAAAAAACAAGTATTCAAATATTACCTCGTTACTCCTTCTCCTGGTAGAAACATAACCAGTGGTCTTCCTCCTGGGACTCTCCCTCGTCCTCCTGTGCCTTCCATCGGCTCCCTCGCGGTGCAGGTGATGATGATGGTGATGGTGCATGTGATAGTGGTGGCTGCAGCTGGAATCGTCCGAGGTGGGCACGTGGCCGCCATCCTCCCCTTGTTCCACGCGCCAATCCTCCTTCTGTGGGCTCCTGCTAATTTGTTGCTGTTGCTGTTGCTGCGCCTGCTGTTGCGCCGATTGTTGCACGGACATTGTCGCGTCCCGCTTCCTGTTGTTCTTGTGCGGGCTTCTCGCGCTCGTCGATTTCCCCCTCGGCCTGTGACGATGGCTCGGCGTTGGACTCAACTCAACGCTGTCCCCGTACGAATCCGCGCTCCGTTCCACGCCCGCGCCGCTTCCCAGAAAGTCGAGGGAGAACGTCTTCCTTCGTCTGCGCCTCTCCTCCTCGGTCCAACCGCGCAGATCCGGCGGAGACTCGGCGTAACCGCCCGAAGAGGAGCGGTGGCCTTCCTGCAACCGAGTTATTGCCACGGATTGTGCGAATGATGGATACTTTCGAATCGTGACACTCAGTTTGCGCTGAGAGTGCGCGGCTACTCTTCGATGCGGGTGGCAATTCGAAAGATATTTATGTTTGACTCTTTTTAGAATATCATTTCAATAGAATAGGTTTCCTTAGGTTCTTTATATGTAATATTATGAAGTGGAGAATAATGTACTGTCGAATGGCTAGGTTTTTTTTTTATCTCAAATTAGACCGTGATCGCGGAAATGAAATATTATTTTCAAAATTTTTGTAAGGATGGAATACGGTAATGGAATTAGTTAGAGTTTGTGAGAGTCGATCTGATGCCAATTCGAACGATATTTGTATTATTTATGCGGATTGTGAATCATGGATACTTTTGAATCGCGACACGTTTGCGCTGAGAGTGGCGACTCTCTGATGCGAGTGGCAATTCCAAAGATATTTGTATTTATATTTGATTCTTTTTAAAATATCATTTCAATAGAATAGATTCTTTACAAAGTGTATAATAATGTACTGTTGAGCGATTAGGTTTTTTTTATTTTAGATTGTGAAAATTAAATTGTAATCACGAAAATATTATTTTCAAAATTTTTGAGTGTTGTGAGGATGGAATACGGTAATGGAATTAGTTAAAATTTGTGAGAGTTGGTCTGATGCCAGTGGCAATTCGAACGATATTTGTATTATTTATATGGATTGTAAATCATGGATACTTTTGAATCGCGACACGTTTGCGCTGAGAGTGGCGACTCTCTGATGCGAGTGGCAATTCCAAAGATATTTGTATTTATGTTTGATTCTTTTTAAAATATCATTTCAATAGAATAGGTTTTTTACAAAGTGTATAATAATGTACCGTCGAACTAGGTTTTTTTTATCTTAGATTGTGAAAATTAGATTGTGATCACGGAATGGAAATATTATTTTCAAAGTTTTTGTAAGGATGGAATACGATAATGGAATTAGTTAGAGCGAAGATGAGTTTGCAAGAGTTGATCTGATGCGAGTGACAATTCAAATGATATTTGTATTTATATTTGATTCTTTTTAGAATATCATTTCAATAAAATAGATTCTTTACAAAGTGTATAATAATGTACTGTGGAACTAGGTTTTTTTTTATCTTAGATTGTGAAAATTAGATTGTAATCACGAAAATATTATTTTCAAAGTTTTTGAGTGTTGTGAGGATGGAATACGGTAATGGAATTAGTTAAAATTTGTGAGAGTTGGTCTGATGCGAATAACAATTCGAACGATATTTGTATTTATGTTTGATATTTCTTTTTAGAATATCATTTCAATAGAATAGATTCCTTACGTATAATTTTATGAAGCGTAGAATAATGTACTGAATAATGTGTCGAATGGCCAAGTTTTTTTTATTTTAAATTGGAACGGAAATATTATTTTCGAGTTTTTTAAAGTTGATAAAATTTTTGAGGATGGAATACGATAATGGAATTAGTTGGAGCGAAGATGAGTTTGCGAGAGTTGGTCTGATGCGAATAGCAATTCGAAAGATATTTGTATTTATGTTTGATTCTTTTAGAATATCATTTCACGAATTCCTTACTTATAATCTTATGAAGCGTAGAATATACTCAAAGTTCAAAGTTTAGCTAGGTTTTTTTTTATTTTAAATTGTGAAAATTAGATCGTGATCGCGGAACGGAAATATTATTTTCAAAATTTTTGAGTTTTGTAAAAATGGAATACAGAAATGAAGGAATACAGAATTAGTTGTAGTAGCGAAAATGAATTTGATTTTGTTATTATTGAATAACGAAATTATTTCTATTCATTGAGAGATTGATGATGAAGAGGAGGAAATGCAGCGATGAAAGTAGAGATGGTGAAGAATAATAGGCAACGAATGTGAGAATACGTTATTGTAAGGTTTGCTCTCAACGAAATAAGAAAGACATCGAACGACATTTTATCATGTGATACTTGCACTGACAAACCGAGGATCTTAATAATTGCTTTATTATTAAAATAGACTTTAATATTCGACAAATTTTCTTCCTTTATACGTATAAATACATGAAATAATAAAATATATAAATTTTACACGTTAATTTACGTGTAAGATCATTTTAATGCATTTCTTAGCTAGCTAAGAAATTGGTTAAAAAAATATGAATTTTTGCATCGATAAAAAAAAAAAAGAAGATAACATTTGTGCTATAGAACGAAGAAACTATTTTTATCCTTCCTCCCTGGTTAAATTAATAAACATTTCATTAACCGATCAACCTTTCTTCTACTTGATCCCGCAAAACATGGATCCCTTCGAATGTGAAAAAAAATTCACATTTAATCTTCCAGAGATCGTAGCTCAACTGGAGCGAGAACTAATTCGACACCATTAACCAAAATTCGAAAATTGCAATATCCGTGACAACTCTCTCTAACAACTCCTGCAAAAAGAAAAAAGAAAAAAAAAAAAAAAAAAAGAAAGAAAGAAGAACTCTCATCATCGTTTCACATATTTCGTCACTTTAACATTACCGAGCTTAAAGATAGAATCGATTCGTTTCGTAAAAACGTGTCACGTTTTCTGCCCATCATGGAAGAGAAAGGAAAAATTTCGCGCGGCGAGGCAAAAGTCGATCGAATTGGCCGATTGGAATTAGCTTAATTATCATCGTCTTACGTCATGATCCAGCTCCGTCTCGGAGGTGTGTCCGCTCGGCGGTGCCGTTTGCTGCTCAACCTCCTGACCCGGATCTGTCATCGCGTCTTTCAGGTCGTAACTGCCCGAACTGCTGCTGCTCGTGGACCTGGCTGGTGACGGGGGTACCTCCAATCCAAATGGAATTTCCGTTTCCTCCAATATCGGTGGCGGGCTGCATGGCTCTTCAACGACGGCCTGACCCAACGACAAACCGAAGCGAAATTTACTTACAGTTTCGTAATGGGAGCGTAACGCGGAGGTGAGAGTTTTTTTTACGAACAAAGATTGCTTTGTCGAAAAATTGCGAGTTGTTAAAGTTTTTGGCCAATTTTAGAAATTTTTGTTCAATTCGAATAAGAATTCTTCTGGAATATTGATAAATTTGAAATATGAAATATGAGATGGGAAATACATTGTGATTGATAATTTGGTAAAAATAAAAATTGTAGAAAGTTGGAAAATATAAATTTGATGAAAAGGATCGAAAAATCTGGAAGATTAAACGTAGAATTTTTTATTGGCAGGGAATAATCGTGGAATTTTAATTTTCCTTTCTTTTTTTTTCTTTCGTGTAACGAAAAATTAACAACGTAGGTATACGTTGGTACTTATTTCTAGATTTACACGTTTTTTTTTTTTCTTTATACACGGCAAATTATCTTTTTTGCCTTATGCGATATTTTTAAACGCAGTCTCACAATGAAAGATAAATTAGTTTTCAAAAAATTTAATAAAAGAAGAAAAAGTTAATTAATTTTGTAATATTGCGAACATCGCGTTACATTTCCTATCGATTTTACATTTTTAATTACTTAATTATGACTTATGCAGATAATTCTACAGTCAGATTTAAACGTTTAATTATTAATTTTTCAGAATTTTTTCTATCCGTATTCGTAAATTTTTTCAATATTAATGCAAATTTTATCTCATTATATTTCTGCGACCGTTGCAGATAAACCATGCAGTATATTCAGGTCGTTAAGTTTCATAAATGCAAAATTTTAACTAATTGACCATTTCTCTGATAATCTGCGATAATTATTTTGTTTATACGAGACTATTTTAATACACGTATCTTAATATTTATGAACGAAAATACAAGTACACAAGTGTTAATAATTCACGTTTAATTCATTATTATATTATTATATATCCCTTTGCATGGATCACGGCTCATTTTCTTCACAACGAGAATCTTATTGCGCGTAATAAAGTATTTAAAACACGAAAGAGAGAGAGAGAGAGAGAGATATTTCATTTAAATTCAATTAAAGAATTTTAAATAATTTTATTCACTTGATTTATTTTAGAATTATTGAAAATCGATTTAAATAATAAATCGATATATAACAGTCGATAATTATTGAAATAATTAATGATCGATAATCGTATTCACGGGTAATCGAAAACTGCAAAAATATACAGAATCGAAATATATATATTACAGGTAAAGAAGATATATATTTCGTTAATTCAATTATAAAGTATCTCTATATAAATCTATCTAAAAAGAGTATTCACGATCTAAATGTTATATCTATTTTATCTCGCTCCTCCTCTCTCATTTCCCCGCCATCTTTGCGAAGAATTTAATTCGATTATTTCGAAATATTTTCCTTTAATTTAATCCATTAATTATCCTCTTTCGTACAATTTTAACTTTTAACATCTTTTCTCAATTTCCCGCGCATTTTCTTACTGTCGATCACGTGAAATAAAATTTTTCCCCCTTCGTCCTGATTTTCTTATTTATGCACGAACATATATATTTCCCTATTCAGATCGGCTGTTCCGTATTCATTACAGCGATATGTGCTGCAAATAAACATCCAAGATTGTGCACGTTGCTCGAATACCAATGAACCGTATCGGCCTCTAATTGCGCATCTTTCACGAGTTGCGCTCCACACAGATAAAACGAAACCTTACCTTGTCTCGAGAAACCTATTATATCGACAATGCATAAATCATATATATATATATATAAACTTCACGCGATATCAATCTCAAAACTACGAAAACAAATTAAATTCAATAAATTCAAAATGAAAACGAACACCGATATAAAATCATAAAACTTAAAGCTTAAAACACCGAGAGAGAGAGAGAGAGAGAGAGAAAAAAATCCTACGATTCGAAAGAAATCTCCGAAAAAACTCGGCGCGAAATGAAAACTTGCCCCATATATATATACACACACACTCTTATCGGCGATTTCTTTCGAAACTTTTCTTTTCGACAAAAGGTTCCCGAACTCGGGGAAAGAAAAGAGGATAATAGAGAGAGAGAGAGAGAGAGAGAGAGAGAGAGAGAGAGAGAGAGAGAGAACTGACCTCGCTGCGAGCCAGGCTGTAAATGGAGCTGGCGCTCTCGAACGAGCTACCCTCCGCGGCAGTGGCTGTCGCCGAGGCCGAGGCCGCTGCGCTCGACGTCTGCGGGGGCCTCGACCAGGAGCTGGTCGTTGCGGAAGTGCCCGTAGTGGTCCCGGTCTCGGTCGAGGTGTTGGCAGTGACGTAGTCCTCGGTGGTCGAGGTTTCGGACAGGTCCGTGTTGGTCCGACCGCCCGAGTCGGTCCGCGCCAGGCTCAGCCCGAACTCGCTCGAGGATTGCGACTGGGGCTGGGACAAGGGGGGCCCGGGGCTTGGACGACGGAATCCGCCTCTCGGCCTTCCGTTCATCGACGTGACGCACGATTCGACGCTGAGAAGTAATTGCCTTTAAAAATCGCTTCCGATTGTACACGGGGTGTCTCTAGCACGGGCCGACGTTCGATGGTGTTTTGTTGTGATCGAACGGTGTACGCGTGTGATCGTCGATGATCTCTGTGGCTAATCTCTCCGAGTTCTTTGGAACTCGTTTTTTTTTGAAACGGTGGGTAAATAGATAATAGAGGTTTAACCCTTTGCACTCCAGGCCTGTTTCGCTCGGTCGAACCAACTTTAGACTCAAATCTGCGTTCGGTCAGTCTCATAAGATAATTACTCATAAGATAAGATTACATAAGATAGTAAAGAAGGAATCTATTTATGAAGCGATATTCTAAAAAGATCAAACTTAAATAAATATTGTCGCCATTCAAGTTGCCACAACAATCTCAGGCAGTGGTCACTGTTGGAGAGCAAAGGGTTAATAATAGAGGGGAGGTTTAGATAGAGGGGTAAACGTGTAACTTTTACCAAAGTCGAGGTTATTTAACCTCGAGGTAATTTAACGTTGTAAGCACGTGCAGTATTATTATTTTGAACGAAAAGAAGTCTCTGATTGCGAAGTTCGTATCAAGGGAGATCTGTAATACGATAGGTTAGGTCCTGTATAATGTGGCTAAACATCCAAAGAGGATTCTTAGCGAAGGATTCTTCTTTCAACGATTGAACCCAAAATCCTTGGTATGTATATTCACTTGGTGAAATTTAAGGGGGGTATATTCGTATGGCGAGTAATATGGAAATGAGTGTGATGATATAAGACCCAATGATAGATTACCTTGGCGTTAACGGTTGGATAGGCGTGGCAGCCTCGAGGCGTATCCTTGGACTCGATGGGCGCGATTCCATCGTCTCTTCGATATCGAGCGCCTCCGTGTCCATCGAGGAACGTTGCTGATGCTGGAGAAGCAGTAGGTGCCTTCTCCTCGAGGACGGTGTCAAAAGGGCCAACGAGTCTGCCTGGAGCACGGTCGCCTGAGACTCGTTCCAAATTCCGTCGCTGTGGTCCCTCGTGACGTCGTTCGTTAACGAATCGCTCGATGCGAACGGAGATGTGATCATACCGGATATCCCGGTTCCAGGGCCGAAAAGTAACGGGCAAATTTGCCCGGTTTGCCGCAACGGACGTGTCGGCGACTCGTAGTCCTTCGGACTTTGTAAAATTCTTCGTGGCGCTGCAACAACGGGGTTATTTGTTAAATTATTATTGTATCATTGTACATTTATTTCAGATTTGTAAAAGACTTCAACAGACAAATGAAGATAATTCGAATGATTGATACAGAGGGCGGAAAAAATTATTATTTGGAACTGTGAATCATTTGCTTTGTACTTATTTTGTTTACGAAAAATATTTAAGGATTTGTGCTTGATTTTCTTCAAAGTTCAAGTATGTCGTGTATCGACATATCTGGAAATCGGATCTTTCTCTGTAAATAATGTAATGCGAATATGCGATAACATGTTTGAAGCAAATATTTTAGAAAGGAATAAGACGAGATAAAGGTGATACTATTCGGGTCAAGTTCTGTATCCCTGCTCTTTATTTGCTGCACGATTTGTTCTGTTACCCAACTCACTGACCCATACTTTCACCTTAAATCCGATATTTGGACTGGCTACCTTTCGCGCTAAATTGTTTGAAAAATTTGACGGCTTTCGAACGTCAAAGTTTAAAATTGGCCGAAGGGATAGGAAATAAATGTAGAAAGAGCAATTTTTTGTTTTTTTTTTAAATTAAAATTGACAAGCGAGGAATAAACAAAAGAAATAAACGGACGTGGATATAGTTTCGATAAATCTATTTTCACGGAAAAAGTTTAATGAAAATTGTAATTTCGATGTGTAATTATTATTAATTTATGCTTTTTATAAAGCATAAGGTTTTTATTTTCGCGCTATTTTATTAAATTTTCGAAAATAAGAAAAGGATAATTTTACAAAATTTAAAGTTTACGAGTGAAAAGATTGAAAATTGAAAATATTCGTAATCAAATTTCATTTCTCAATTATATTTTTAATCGTGGAAATAAATGAGCTAGCAATTGAACTGGAAGAGAACTGAAGAGAATTTTTATCAATTGTCGACATCAATTCGTTTTATAAAATTAATTTTGATTTATTTTAATATTGCCGTAACAACAAATCATATTTATGAAACATTTTGTCGTTTATGTAATGTAATTTTTTTAATTGCTTGCAAAAATTTCTATATTTCATATGAAATTATATATTTGACAAAAATTGTTAAAACTGAAAAATTTAATGAAAATTTTATTATGATAATTTAATATGTGACACGTTAAGCTGTAATTACGTAAAATATTTTTTTCCATTTTTTATATTAATAATATTTAATGTAAATATAAAAAAAGTTTCAAAAAAGTTTTATAGAATAAAAAGTTATTAAAAATATATAAAAATATATATATATATTATGAAATATGAAATAATATCCCAATTATAAATAATTTAACTTCATTACGAACATAGAATATGTTTAGGATGTTAATGTATTGCTTGAAACATTATTGGAAGATCGATTTTATAAAGCAAACATAAAAATTAGTATATAAAAATATTGATTGAAACTTATTTGCAACTCATAAGAAATTGAAGTTTAACAAAGTTAAACGAAGCGAGATGAAGATAGAGATAAATGCTCTGTTACACCAACGTGCCACAGCGTGGCGCTGTATGTCATTCTTTGTCTCGCTTCGATACAAATCTAATAATTGCTTATAATTAATAAACGAGCCTCAAGCAATATTTTTGGTTATTATTTTGATTTTTAGAATCGACTTTCCAATAATATACGAATATATTAATATTCTGTAATTTATTATTGTGATGAATTGTGTATTATTTGGACACATATTTGATATATCATTAATAAATTGAGCTTAAAACATTTGCAGAAATGGCAATAACAATGAAAAATAAATACTCATATACGCAGGCAACAGTGGTTAAATAACGTAAAATTTTTACGTGATCTAAGCTAACTATCTTTTTTCCTTATTCAAAGCATCGTCTACGAAATTGCTAAAAGCGAAAGAAAGAAGGAAGAGAAAAAAGCACAATCCAATCTGACTGAGAAAAAGTCTTTCTTCGAGCATGATACAAGATTATAAATCGTCGAGAGGTGAGATAAAGAAGAGTAAAAACAGGAAATGCACAGTAGTAAGAAATTTGCATACAAGAAAGAAAACCTTGCCAACAGACGAAATTTAGAAATTTCGTGAAAATATTTAGAATTGGTAATATAATTTTCGATGAAATTAATTCGAGAAACCACGTATATATATATACAAATTTAATTCCATTTCTAAGAAATATTTAAAACGCGTATAAATTTAAAGAATATTTTCTCTCAACCCCTTCACATCTTATTAATTATTTAAACAAATAAATCACAAAGAAGCGAATATGATACCTTAGATTATTATCATTGAATATCGTTTATTCTTTCTCGTACTACGATATATTTAGAAAAAAAAAAAAAAAAAAGACATGACTCTTCTTCTCTCATCTTCTTTTCCTTTCGTTTTATCAAACAATCAAAAAGTGAAGCAACGTTACAATTCCAATCCTTTCGACTTTATTCTCCTTCCACCGTTGTAAAACTCTAAAAATATTCTACGATTCCGCCACTCTGAAATATTCTTCGTTCAAGAAAAACATCGCTGTGAAACTTGCGCGAAATTCCACGATAAAATTCCGCTTATTGCATAAATAATAAAAAGGGCATGGATCATATTCCACCGTACCTGATACCGCTGTCGGCGATGTAGGGGACGTGGGGAGCGATCTGGGTAGCATAAAATCGTCGGATGCCAATCCTTGCACGCCATCTTCCAACGATACGCTCCTTTTGCGGAACAGTCCTCGCCTGATGAGATTCTCGTGAAACTCCTGCAACGTGTTGTACGTATGGATATCGACGAACGTGGTGGTGATACGCTTCGAAGGAATAAATTCTCAATCGTAAGAAGAATTTTTTCTTTTCTTTCTTTTTTTTCTTTTTCCTTTTTCTCTCTTATGCTTTCCGTATTCGCGATTTTTTTCGCGAATAGAGGGGAAAAAAAGAGATGTTCGAGTTGGTTATCGATTTCTAGTCTCTTCGAGTTTTCGAGGCTCGAAAGTCGCTCGAAAGGGAGGCCGATGGCGGAAGGCTTCTGAGTAGCCCTCTGGCGGAATTCGCGAGCTCGTCGAGAAATTTTTTTTTGTCAGACGTGTACGACAGAGAAGGGACTGTCTGAAGACTGTATAATGGTAGGTGGATCTTCAGTTTGTGAGAATTTTACGACGATGTGGAAAATGTTTTTTTTTTTTTTTTTTTTTTTTTTCACTGTTTTATGATTAGAACTTGGGGATAATTTTTAACATGTTTTCAGTCGGTTTTTATTTTCTCAGTAGAGAAGTAAGAAGAAAGGGAAGGCTTAAGAGATGGAAGTTTTGAAAAACTTTGGTTTTCATTTTTTCATTTTTTGTGTTATTTAATACGTGTATTGTGCATAATAAGATTTTTTCATGAAAGATATTTTTGTAATTGAGAATATGATTCAACTGGGAAATGCTGAAGAAAAAAAAATACGTAGAAAAATAAATAAAAAGAATAGAAGAAATAAAAGAAAAATTAAAAGGAACAAATGAACACAGTTGCTCGTATTAACAGAGGAAAATAGGTGAAAGTAGAATAAAATGCGTTATTAAAGACATTTCTTCTGCTAAAAAAAAAAAATTAGAAACAAAGGAAGACTTTAAGACTTTTCTTTAAAAGTCTTAAAGAAACGTTGAATTATCAGAAAATAAGATTTTTTTCATCTTTTTAATTCTCATAGAACCAAAGTGAGGAATAATTGTGATTATTCGAAAAAGATATGCAAAAGATATCAGATATTAATGTCGAATATTTTATATTTTATATGCAGGATGCATATAAGTCCAGTTAAAGAAAAAAGAAATAATAAAATTGCATTTTTTAAAAAAATTCTTCAAACCTGAACAAATTAGATAAACGTGCCACACTAAATTTTACCTTCTAAATATAAAATTATTCGTATAAAAGGATTAAATTATAATAAAAGAAAATCAATTTTTTTTACAATCGCAATACATTATCAACGATAAGTTAAATTCTGACGATTTAAACGATGAGACGAATTTATTTTTAACTTTAATGAATAAGATTATACGAGACTACTACAGTATAAATGAGCAAACGAGATTCAACCTTTTTAAAATAAATCCTTGATTTACGAAGAGTACGAAAACTGTCTGATTCGTTTATAACGATCGATAACGATTTCCATTTTCGGCTTTTTTTAACCTGCTACTTTAAACTGGATCAAGGATGTGTAAAAAAAAAAAAAAAGAAAGAAAGACTAGGAAAAAAAAAAGAAAGAAAAGGAAACGAATAATTCACAAACGAAGAGTTAATAACTGGGCGAAAATTTTTCAATTCGAGGCAATTAAGGCCTCGAAAGAAAGTTTTCGAATGTGCTTAAATTCAGGATGCATTGCACACGATGTTAACTTAAAAAACTTGGGAGGCAGCCGGGGTCAGAGAAATCCGGGCTTCGAAATTTAATTCAACTTCAAGAGCATCGAACTTTCGCCTCGTGACTTTCGGAAAAATATCTTTTTATCGAATATCGAATATTTGCACACTCTTAACTCAAACACCGCTGTCCTTTAAAATTAAACGAGTAATACGAGATTGAAATTTTACCTTCTACGCTTTTCACGGAAGTTATATACGGAGGAAGGAATATTCGATAAATTATTAAAAATTAAAAACATTGGAGGAAAACATTAAACCTTTAAATTATATGCATCAAATTAATATAAGTTCGATAAATTACTGTTTAAAATAAAACGGCATGTCCGAATCCATCCACAATAATAACGTTATCAACGTTCGAGAAGTGAACGGGATCATTTGAAAAGTTTGATATATAGAGATCGCAAGAATTCAACAGTAGCAGGAATACGGATTGCGCCGAGTCAGCGATTTAAAATGCTTCTCGAGCAGCAAATCTCGCCGTTTTCATAATGCGTTGTGCTCCCAATGCAACGGGGGACGAAAAAACGCGTTCGAATTCCCGTTCGGGGCACATTTTCGAGTTTAATTAAACTTATATCCGATATATTATTGCGCCAATTTAGAAGAAAAGAAATAATAACAATTATAACCATTTTTAAATTTATCCCTTTCTATCGCTAACTAGAAAAAAAAAGAAAAAGGAAAACAAATATCGAAAGAGAGATGAAAGACGAGGACAAAGAAAGAGAAGAGATTAATTAAAGTTATAGCCGATATATTATTGCGCGAATTTAAAAAAGAAAAGAAATAATAACAATTATAACCATTTCTAAATTTATTTATTGCTACCTAGAAAAAAGAAGAAAAAGGAAAACAAATATCGAAAGGAGAGGACAAAGAAAGAGAAGAGATTAATTAATAAACTTATATCCGATATATTATTGCCCGAATTTAGAAAAAAAAAAAAAGAAATAATTATAACCATTTTTAAATTTATCTATTGCTACCTAGAAAAAAGAAGAAAAAGCAAAACAAATATCGAAAGAGAAATGGAAGACGAGGACAAAGAAAGAGAAGAGATTAATTAAACTTATATCCGATATATTATTGCGCGAATTTAGGAAAGAAAAGAAAAGAAATAATAATAATTATAACTATTTTTAAATTTACCCCATTCTATCACTACCTAGAAAAAAGAAGAAAAAGGAAAACAAATATCGAAAGGAGAGGACAAAGAAAGAGAAGAGATTAATTAAACTTATATAACGATATATTATTGCGCGAATTTAGAAGAAAAAAAGAAATAATAATAATTATAAGCATTTTTAAATTTATCCCTTTCTATTGCTACCTAGAAAAAAGAAGAAAAAGGAAAACAAATATCGAAAGGAGAGGACAAAGAAAGAGAAGAGATTAATTAAACTTATATCCGATATATTATTGCGCCAATTTAGAAAAGAAAAGAAATAATAACAATTATAACCATTTTTAAATTTACCCCTTTTTTCTATCACTAACTAGAAAAAAGAAGAAAATATTGAAAGAGAAATGGAAGGGGAGGACAAAGAGAGAGAAGAACGAGAAAGGCGAAAAATTCTTTCCTCTCTTCTCTCTCCCCAATCTCTCCTCCCTCCTTTCCTGTTTCCTGCCACAAAAGGAACCATGATGATTCATGGTTTGGTTAAGGAGAAACGACACGCGTTACCTCCTCGGGATGATCCTCTTGGGGCGAAGCGACCCTGAGCAAGGACAGATCCTCGGGCGTGGAGGAGAATTGGACGGGTGCTCTGACGGTCCTCCCCCAGGGGTCCTGGTGATTCCTCCTGCACGTGTGCGGATAACTCGGTTCACCGGCTTCCCCGATCAATTCGCGTCTCTCGACCCGGATCTCGCCGTCCGACAGCGTCTTCTGCAACGGGAGGAACCTCCTTCCCGTCTGGGACATCCGGTTCAAAAGGGCGCGGGCGTCCGGCGACACGGGCGCTGGTTTAAAGTCGATGAGAATCTCTTGGTCGTCCAACTCGTACGATCTTCGCCGACCCTGGGACTGCGAAACGGATCGAAACGAGGAGAGATGATTGGGCCATTGTTTCTTGTTGCTTGTGATGTGGTGTTGTTGATGATATGTGATGATGGTTTTCTTTTTTGAAAGAAGGGGTGGGGGAAGAGAGGGAGGGAGAAAGGGAGGGAGGAGGGGGGGGGGGGTTTAAAAGAGACCGAGTATTTCATGTTTTGAATTTTTGACGATTCGTTGGGATGAAGTTAAGTTAGCTAAGTTTCGTCGATGTATGATATGAATATTCATTAGGGGGAAATGAATTTGTTAAAAAAAAAAAAAAAAAAATGGAACTGGAAATGGATCGACTTCTTTCGAGCGGGTTAATTTATTTTGTTGGTAATATTTTTCGATCGGGTAATATTTCACCGACAATGTGTATTTATACAGCGCGTTGATATTATCGATATAATACTTTTATCGGCGCTTATTTCATCGTCGACCTCGTATTTATCCACATTATCATCGAGGGTGAATTTTCTCGACACATTTATTCCCCTTTGAAAAGAAATAACGAGAAGAATAATACAATTTTCTTGTGCCATATTTATATTATTATTATTATTATTATTATTATTGTTATTGTTATTGTTATTGTTATTATTATTATCATCATCATCATCATCATCATCATCATCATCATCATATTAATCGAATTAAATCGCGTATTTTACTAAAGATTGAAATTTCATTCGTTAACGAGTGAACCTTTTGCCTTGCAATTTAATGGAAGGATTGAAAATTATATTACTCAACTTACGAATCGAAATAATAAAGAAATCGTAAAGAAAATATGTATCTATCATATTTTCGTGGAATGCAACAAAATTTGTGATTAAACTTAACGTCTCGATAAATTAAAAATTAAATTAAAAATTTATCGTGTTTAAAACATCGTTTCAAGGCAAGAGGTTAATAATAAGTTAATAATTTTACGAAAATTTCTATTTTTAGCATCCCCTACCATCATCAAAACTAAAGATGGTCACATAAGTTAGAAAGAAAGCTTCGACATAACATACAAACATACAATAAACTGGACGTTGAGAATTGGAAATAGTATTCTAAAGAAACAGATGTTACAGAAAAAATGCTTATTAAGAAAAAAAGTTATGGCTATTTGCTACGGGATATCCTCGACAATCCTATTCTGTAAATTATCCGATAGATACGAACGATAAAAAGTGATAATTTAACGAAATAATAATAAAAACAATAAAACTGAAAATTATAGAATGAAGAAAAGCACTGAAAGAAGACATACCATTCAAAAATTGAAAGGAATAGAAAAATTGGTAACTAAAAAAGTTAGGAATATTATTATTGCTAAAATAACAATAAAAACAATAAAATTGAAAATTATAGAATGAAGAAAAGCACTGAAAGAAGACATACCGTTCAAAGATTGAAAGGAATAGAAAAATTGCCAACTAAAGTCAGGAATATTATTACTGCTTATTTCTCCAAAATAATAATAAATAAATGACGATAGAAATACATATATTATAATCTAAGATAGCTTAAAATTAATCCATAAATATGAATGGCCAAATTAAAGAATCCGCTAGATGGCGAGTTCTCATCGTGCCTGTATGTATCATTATAGCTTTGCAAATGGAATATGGAAATAAAAAAAAAGTAGAAAGTTTCTACCTTCCATACAATTCAATTCTTATCGCATGAAACGACGAATTGTATGAATTTCTAATATAAAATAAACTAAGTTTAATTTATAAAAAAAAAAAAAACAAAAATAAAAAATATATAATTTATAATGATTTAAAATAGATATATTTGTTACAAAATTGAAATTTAAATGCTTCTAATAAAAAAAATTACAAAATATTTCTCAACTATTGAAATATGACCGATTACTTATCGATTCTCAGTTCCTTCAGCCTATATTTATTATAAAATTTTAATGTATAAGAATTTTAATAATGAAGTTGCTACATTGAAACAATTATTCCTTACACATTCGAAAATGAATTTTATACATTATTTGAATCACCGTGCAACGTGTTGAACAGACACAGGTACAAAATAATTAAATCGTGCATCTTGTTCCGTCAAACCTGTCCAGGGCGCGAAATTAAAATGATTCCCGCCGATCGAGAATCACGCGGCGGAACGCGAGCGTTTTGATCGGCGGCGAAACGATGCGAAAACGTCATAAAACGGATGGAACAACGTTCGATCGATACGTTAATATCCGTAACAACGTGTGTCCTTTAATTACACTTCATCCACGACACACGAGCTTTCGCTTTTCCACCACCACGTCTATTTTGTTAACCGGACAAGTAATTCGATCACGATACCATTACAATCGGCTATAAATAGCGGGGAAATTTGATTCTTGTCCGATCTTCCTCACCTTCCTCCCTCCTCTCCCTCTCCCCTCTTCCCTCTCCGTTTAATCGAGTGACGTGGCCCCATGATTTATGCCGAACACACGGAAATAAATTAATTAATCCCCTGCACGATTTCATTGAACGCGTTAATTGCATCACGTTCCACATTTCGACTCGACGTTCCCCGTATTTGGTTTTCCTTCCTCCCTTTATGTTTCTATCCTCGAGTCGTCTAATTCGAGGCAACTCGAGTAACCACAATTTACATTTGGAAATTTAAAAAAAAAATCTTTTTTCAAGTCTCCATGGAGGTTGAGATCCTTTCAATTTCCCGCGATTTTTCGTTCGTTCGAAAATTCTTCTCTGTAAGGTTAAATGTGAACAGGAATTTTCTTAATTATGCGAAATCTTTTTTTTCAGAGAGAGAGAAAGAGAGAGAGAGAGAGAGAGAGAGAGAGAGAGAGAGAGAGAGAGAGAGAGAGAGAGGGAACATCGTTGTTACGATGCATAAATTCGCTTGTAATCGCCAAGGATTCTCCATGGATTTCCGCGAATGAATGAATTTATAATACCGAATTTTATCATATCAACGATTATTAATAACCGAACGAGTAATTTCAGTAGAAATACATTCATTATTATTTATCGTGATTTTCATTCACAGATTTGGGTTTCGATCCCAACTTAAACTTTTAAAATAAAAAAAAAAAAAAAAAAAAAAAAAGAAAAAGAAACGGGGGAAAAAAAGAAAGACAAGAAAAGAAAAGAAAAGGAAAACTCGAGCATGTACACGTTAATCGGTGTACAGGAGTAGCGTCAAGTTGCGTAGTAGCCCATCCGGAAAACCGAATCGTCGAGCTAATCGATATCCACTCCCGGCCACTGTGTGACAGCGGGGGAGATTTCATACGTGAAATTGAATCGGATGTCGCGAGAGAAACGTTTGATCCCGCATCACAGAACGCCGCGATCGCGAATAATTCGACAGATTTTCATGCCCGGCTCCTTAACCAAATTGGAATCCGTAATATCCCCTCCCCCCTTCTCCCACCCGGTGAATCGAGAGTGGCGTCAAGTACGCGGAGCCGAGCATCCGCAGAGGCCCTTTCCAAATCGAGCTCGTACCCAGCTCTCCATCGAGCAACAGAATCAATGAGATTCCCCTGTACGATTGCTTCGTCATCAAAGGAATTTTCTATGTTGGCCATCATTGTCTATCGCGAGTGAAACAAGTTTTTAAAGAAAGATTCGATCGTGCTAGAATGCTTTTTTTCTTTGTTTATTTATTTATTTTTCTTCTTCGAATTTATGGCTGCGAGAAAAGATAGAGAAGTGAGATTTCTCTGAATCGTTGGAAATTTCGGTGGAAGTTTTCTTTCGAACGCGTGTGTGAACTAATTCATTGATGGAAAGAATGTGGAAGAAACTATCTATTTTCATGCCTATTTTTGTTTCTAGCATGATATTCGTCACGTACATTAATCCAAACGATGATCTGTATATAGAGTATTCAGAGTATTCTAACGTATATCGATATAATATAAAAATTTATTTATTTCTGATAGTAGGCGTTAGACTACGATTTGTAACGATAGTTTAATTTACAAAACTAATTTTGTATTCGAGCAGATAAGATAATAATTGTACGTATACGAATAAATTAAATATGCTAAGTATATTATATATTGTATCAAAATAATTAATAGTTTCGAAAATATTTCAATTTCCAGTCTTGGATGATTATTCTAACGTAACTTCATAAACGAAAATAATTTTTGAATAACGATTATGAATGTTGAAACTATAACTCTTCTACTGCTAGTGTGCAGCGTATGATGTCAACAAAGCGTGTGAAGTGGGGATAAACGGTTCTAGCGAAGGACCCCTCTTGCCCCTGCCACGCCAGATTTCATTTTAGCAGTGAACAGTACGTAACTCGATTTTCGTGTAAAGTATGATTGGACGAGAAAAGTTTCGCGATATGCGATAATGTGTTGATAAGACGTTTCGAAGGAAACGTACGTATAAGGTGAATATAAAGTAATGGAATATTATTTTGCTTCTTTTTTATGATATTCAGAAACGTTTCGAATGAAAATAATAATAAATGCGTATATATATATTTTGAATCTCGTGAATAATTTTTTATTACAGATTTGCCATTTTCAAATATAATAGTTTCAAGATATTTTATAAATTATTTCCAATTATCGATTGAGTGAGGGCTATTTTCATTCTCTCGATATACAACGTGTTAATATATTAAAACAGAAAATGTACAAGAATTAACTTTCTTTTTTCTTTTTTTTTTTTTTTTTTAATGAAATCGTTTATATTATGAATAATTTAAGTTCAAGATGGAGCGAGACGTAAACACCAAAATGACGTGACACGCCGCACCGTGGCGCGTCGGTGTAACTAAGATAAAGCTGTCTCGCTATATATTTTCGTCTCTTCGTCTAACGGAAAATTGCTTATAACTTAATGAATAAGTCTCAACCAACTTTTCCAACTTATGCGTTTGTTTTGGCCTCTAAAACCATGTTTTCCAAATACATTAACACCTTGTATGTCGAGAGAGTGAAAATAGCCCTCATAATTGGAATTAATTTATAGAATATATTTTGAAATAATTATTATAATTAATTATTATATTTGGAAATGTGTGATAAAATTATCCACGAGATTCAAAATGCATATTACAAAAATAATTGGAAAGTTTCGGTTAACAAAGAGATAATCAACGCGATTAGATTGTGATAGGATAGGCGATGAAAATAATCAAGAGATGATCAAGTTATACAGTTCACTCCGCATCCCCAAACCACATTTGTTTCTCACTAGGACACGTTGTCACGCGTCCCGAGCATTTAACTGGTTAATTGAAACGTGGCGGCCTACGAAATCAATAGAATTTAATGCAGAATTAATTGACGACTGATTTTCACGCGACTGGCCCTTATGAAATTTCAATTTTCCAAGTAATTTTTGCCACGTACAGGGCAAGTTTGAACGAGACGAAATAAATAATTGATCAAAAAAATCGATCAAGAGATGCGATAAAGACATCGATGAATGATTTTATATATATATATATATTTTCAAAAAAAGATTCTCGCTTTGAGAAATTTGATCGCGGATCGAGAAAAAATAAAAATAATGTACGTTTAAAAGATAAATTTCAAAATGATAGATCACACGATCTAATCAATGAAACGAAAAAATTGAAATCGCTGTGTGATTTTTAATTGGCAATGTCACATTTTTATACCTTTATCCTGTTCCATCGTATTTTGCGGATAAATTCAATGTATCTCGAGTACCCTTTAACGTTTCACATTAATTTTTCCGCTTTGCCCTCTAAATCCTCTTTCTCCCTTCCACCACGGATATTACTTCACGTATGACGAAATCTCTCGTGGGATTCAACGATTCAACAGATTAAGTAAATTCCTTGGTAACCGTTGAGATCTGTATTATTCGTTGAAAAATGATTTCACTTTAGAAAGGGAATATCAATATTAAATTTAGAACACGATTTAATTATGCTAATTAACCATTCGAATTTTACGAATCGTATTCTCCAATTATCGCCACGAGATTAACGATTAAATCATGCTAAATAAATAAATAATTTACACGATGAATAATACAGATAATAATTACTGATTAGAAATTGTTGATTCCTCAATCAATTACTCTTCTAAATATATACTTTTAAATTGAAATCTTTTAGCTTTTTAACTTAGAAATTTTGCAAATTTCTGTCGCAAAATTCTGACACGTCCCCCTATCAAAAATTTACCTCCCAAGTGAAATATTATGTAACACGTAACAGATAAAGTTCTTCTCGTAATTTACTTCGAAAATCTGTGTAACTGGTTGGCGCTCGGTGATAAAGGGAAATGAGTTGACATTATAAATCAACCTCGCTATAACTGTTGGTAAGTGGATGACTACGAGTGTATCGCCCGTTTCGGACATTTCCACTCTCCAAAGTTTATTCATTAAAACCAGAAGTGCATTGTGCAAATTTCAAGCGAATCGTTTAAAGTCAATCTGTACACGAGAGTTGCGGCTCAATAATTGTTCCGTGTAACACGTATCATTGAAGAAATTCGTAAATTACGTTTCATCACAAATGAATTTCAAGATCACCATTCACTCGTACATTCGATATATTCCAAACATTCATATCATTCATTTCGCAATTTTATCCATCGAAAAATAATCCTATCAAAATTTTCAACCCCAACTGAGAACTGAAATTCTTCCAATCTTCCAAAAATTCGCAAAACGCTCCAAAATTCGCGCAATGATCCACGAAATCCACGCAACAGTTGTTTCGAGGAAATTTAAATTTAAAAACACGAAATACATAAATAATATTATTCGACACTCACGACGGCCATGATAGGTTCCGAGAGATCCCCGTTGGTCAATGGCTCCTCCACGTGTCCCTGAGGGGGTGGCGTGTCGACGAGGAAGGGCGACCTCGGTGGTTCCTCGCTCTGCGTCCTGTGAAGGGGCTCGTGGTGCTCCTCTCCGTCCTTCCCCGCCGCACTTGCTTGACCCAAAGGCGTGCCCAGCTGGCCTGCCTCCGAGTAACTCTTGGTCAACTTCCTGCCGTTGAACAGGCCGTTGGTCTGCGCCCCCTGCGAGACCATCTTCACGCGGTGTATCGTCCTCGGGCTAAGGGTGACGGGCACACGGGCACGGAACACGGCAGGGATCTCGGTCTGAGTCGCCTGGGTTTTCATCGTGCCGCGCTTCGGTGGCTTCTCTGAAAACCAAATTCTCGATCGGTGAATCGATTCCACGAAACACGTTTCCAATCCTTTGATTCGATTCGATTCGATTCGATTCAAGTCGAAGAAGGGAAAAATTGGCGGGTGATGGAAAGAAATAATAAAAATTTGAGGGTTCGTATTTTTAATGTTTCTTTCGTTTTGTTTTTTCTTTTTCGGAATTTTTTCTTCTTCTTTTCATCATTTACAAATCGTCATTTGATAGGAATTATATTTTTATTATATTGGATAGAACATGTTGTAATAAATAATTAAATAATAATTAATTTTTAAACTTTACATATATCGTTGGTATTAGAAAAATTAAAAATTTACAATTTGTTGGAAGATTTATTTGATGCTTATTTACTTAAAATTTTAAGTTAAATTTAAACTTTTAATCCTCAAAATGATTCGTATTAACTAATCTATAAAAACTATTGGAATCTTATATATTGTCTTAACTTTATGATCTGGAATATTAGACTCATCAATAAGTTCAATTATTTGAATAGAATTAAGAGAGGAGAAGTTGGAAGCAGGTGTGTTTATTATTCCTCGTTTTCAGGAATGTTAATGTCGTCGTCGATGGTTGATTTCGAATAGGTTTTTGTTGACAAAGGAAGGAAGGAAGGAAGGAAGGAACTTCGCGAAGAGGGGAAAGGGAACTTTGTAGCGCAAACGGAAATTATTTATATATAACGAGTCGAAGACGCGGTATTAGAGTGAAGGGGGATGTCTTTTGATGTAATTGGATTAAATTCTTGACTTGATATTATTTAGATATGGGACGTTACGACATTTCGATATTACATCGAAATACATCGACGTAGAATATTATATATATTGTATATATTATCTATTAATTTGATAATTTAACCTAAATTAATATATTCTCGAAATACGGTCCATCGATCAAACACTTCGATCGATCAAATTAAAAAAAAACAGTTGCACGCAAATGAATATCAATTCGATCTAAATCGAGTATAATAAAATTTATGCCCGAATGAAAATCAAATAAAAATAACAAAACTGTTAAAATTCTTATATTTAACGATATTATCATAAATATTCGATATTTAACGATCTAATCATAAATATTCACATTTTATTTAATAAATAAAATAAAAATTTTAATTCTTCGATTCCTTTCGACAATGCACGATATTAAAATTAACAGATTAATTCCAACTACATGAATAAATCAACACGATAAAGTCCCCTCTCTCTGATCGTAACAAATCAAGTATAATTTAAATCCAATTTTCATATATATATATATATACATATATATCACGTTCGTAAGGGTAGTAGGATAAGAAACGGATTTCCTTAGAACAAATTACCCTTCGGTGGCATTATTTACGCCAACGTTGTAATTCGATCTTATTATTATTCTTCACACGGAAATTTATCAATTATTCTTCACACGGAAATTTATCAATTCCTCTTCACACGGAAATTTATCAATGTAATTCGTTAGAACTTAATCGAGGTGGCTAAATTAACGCCTTCCACTCCCTCCTCCCGCGTCTAACAGTGGCGAATCTAATGTCAACGCCACTACCACTCCACATTCTTTCCCATTCCGACCCATCAAACGATCATTTATCAATTCCTCTTCACACGGAAATTTATCAGTGTAATTTGTTAGAAATTAATCGAGGAAGCTAAATTAACACTTTCCACTCCCGCGTCTAACACCGCGAATCGGATCTAATGTCAACGCGACTACCCTTCCTTCCCCTTTCCCCTTTCCCCCTGCCTCCTTCCTCAGTAATTATTATCGTTTCCTACGCGAGTTCAATATCGGTTCTCATTCGACCGACTATATTGGCAATTTGTTGGCTAATATCGAGCTAACAGCCGGACCGAGGGCAAGAAGTTAATATCCCAGAAGGGATGATTATACGAACGCGTATGAGGAATGGAAATGGAGACGAAATTCTGCGGGGGATTCTTTCGATTTGTCAGCTCTGATATTCACTTGCTTGCGAATGAAAAAAAAAAAAAAAAAAAAAAAAGAAAGAAAGAAAGAAAGAAAAAAGAAGGAAAGGAAAGGAAAAATTGAAAGGAAAAATTTCACTTTTGCTCGGAATAGATGTTTGTATTCTTTGTTGAGAAATTTATTGGCAATTGAAGATTTCGTAGATATTTTTCTTAACTTTTATTATTATTATTATTATTATTATTATTATTATGGAATGCGATTTTTAGATTATTTGATATATATATATATAATTAGAAAACGAACAAAATAATCTTGTTTTGTGGAATTTTTGTATTCTTTTTTCTATAGTATCGTGGAAAAGAGGGATATCGAGGTTCTCTTTTTCACCAATGAAAATTGTTTTAAGATAAGATAATTAAATTCGAGGGGAATCGAACCGGATTAAATAAAGATCCATCTTACTTCGAGCAAAGGATTTGGAGATAATTTTTTAAATCACTTAGAGTATTGGTGGATTACGTTATATCTTATTACTTATTTATATGATATATTTTGCAAATTTTCTCGATCAACGTCTTACTCTGAACTTGTGCGTTTAAAAAGTTAAAGATTTTGTTCCTTCGAAGTACACGAAAGATAATAATGTATAGGTATACGTTAACCATGTACGAGGCAAATTCGATGTATTTTTCATACATCGAGCTAAAATACGAATAATCGACTATTTATAGATACGTATCTCGTTCACGTCGATCTTTTTTCGTCATTTTATGGAAGAAAAATTGAATTTACGAGGTATTCCATTCCTCTCATATTGCCGATCATGTTTTCAATATGTACCGTGTATATATATATATATATTGCATTACCATTGGAAGAGAGAGAGGGAGAGAGGTACACGTCCTGTTAACTCCTCACAGTGTTGAGCTTTCGCATTGTTCCCTTTTTTTCCTTTTTTTTTCTCTTTTTTTTTTTGTTTCAACGAATATAAAAAGTCAGAATTTTACGCGCAATGAATTTTTCTTTCCTCGTTTGTCATGTTATAAAATATGATTCTTCACAGTATATATGTATATTCATGGTATTATCGATGTTTGTTAATCATGGAATTTTCTCCTTGTTTATTTCCGCGAATTGATTTGATTTCATCCTTTATTGATTTATTATGTTAATAAATGGGGTATATAACGGATAGTGTAACGAAGACGAGCGCGAGAAAAATATAATCGATTTGTTTTTTATTCGTATTTTGATTCTTAATCGAGTTAACCGATGATTAAAAGGGTAATTGTTTCAATTGGGAAGAAAAAAAAAATCGTTTTCGAAAATTGACACGACTGAATCTTTTCTCTCTCTGTCTCTCTTTCTTTTCTTTTTGTAGAATGGAAAGTAATGGATCACGTTTTTCTTTTTACATTTGTTTCGTGGCTCGTGCCAAAACAATAGAACAATTTCACCTTTGACTGGCTATATCTTAATCACGAAGGATTGATGAAGTGTCATCAAGGCGTCCGACTTTTTCCCTCTGAAGATCTCTATTCCGACTACATATCAAGAACGTAACATCTCTGTGAGAACAAAGCTTATGTAATTTTTTATTGTATTGTAATTTTATTGTCTCGCATTATTGTAATTTTTCGGATTTTTTTTTTTATAATTATTAATAAACGAAAGGTGTTTCATCCTTAAAAAAAAATTTTTGCAATACAAAACAATTTTATAAATAACTTACGAAAAACGATGAACGAATGCTTCGTTAATTTGCGATATTTTTAATAAAAAAAAAAAAAAAAAATTACAGCTCTTATCGATCGATGAGATTTTGCATAATCTTATAATATAAATTTGAAAAAAATTTCATTATTATTTGAAAATATTTATCATCGATCGAAATCTATTAAAAGTACTAATTACGAGAAATTCGAGATTTTTAAATCACGAACCAACTCTTTCTTTTTATTTTTTATTTTTTTTTGTTTAAGGGAAAAAAAAATTTCAAGGTAGCCATTTCCTATTGAAACATTTTCTCTGAAAGAAAGAGCGCTTTTGATCTAACGTGCAGCTTTAGTTTTAAGTTACACCCGAGAACCTATTTAGTTACATAACGCGAACACGTGTGCGCTTTCCAAGGGTCGCATGGCGGGAATAAACCGTAAAAAAGTACGAACGCGTGAAAATTGACCTCGAAGATGGCATCCTGAGAATTATAGAAGGTAAGGGAAATTTCAATGAGACGTTTATAGTTATAGACGAGTTGCCATTACTTGCTCCTTTTATATCGTCTTATTAAAAAAACCGTCTACTTGTGCTTCTGATCAGGCTGCTCCAATTAAAATTAATTCAAGTTCGAAATAAATCTATTCTCGCGATGAAAGATTGGAAGAAGGAATTATGTACGAAGCGTAAGGATTTTCTCGAGATCGAGAAGTTTTTAATCTATCATTAAAGAGGGAGTCTATTTTTAATGGTGTACGTTAAAAGTAAACAAGATCTTTTTTGCATTAAACTAAAATAAGAGTATAATACAGATGTAATCACTTTTAAATTTGTAAATTTACTTTGTATATTGAAAAATGAACGATTAACTTTCAAAAAATCAGAATTATCTGTTTCTAATCAACGAATCTTTGATTATCTCCAATTAATCTATCATTAAAAAGGAAAATGAACGAATAATTTTCAAAAAATCAGAATTATCTATTTCTAATCAACGAATATTTGATTATTCCCAATTAATCTATCATTAAAAAGGAAATTTATTTTTAATGATATAAAGACAAACAAAATCTTTTTTGCATTAAAATAAAATAAGAATAAAATACGAATCATTTTTACTTTGTATATTCAAAAATGAACTTTCAAAAAATCAGAATTATCTGTTTCTAATCAATGAATCTTTGATTATCCCCAATTAATCTATCATTAAAAAGGAAATTTATTTTTAATGATATACTAAAAACAAACAAAATCTTTTTTGCATTAAAGTAAAATAAGAATAAAATACAAATCATTTTTAAATTTACTTTGTATATTTAAAAATGAATTTTCAAAAAATCATAATTATCTGTTTCTAATCAATACTCTTCGAGAATCCATCACTATCAATTACTATCACTACCAATTAAACTATCATTAAAAAGGAAATTTATTTTTAATGATATACTAAAAACAAATAAAATCATTTTTGCATTAAAGTAAAAAATAAGAATAAAATATATACATAATCACTTTTATTATTAAATTATAAATTATTATATTATTAAATTTATAAATTTACTTTGTATATCCAAAAATGGATAACTTTCAAAAAATCATAATCATCTGTTTCTAATCAACGAATCTTCGATTGTCCATCACCGATCACCATCACCATTTTATAAATCATCTCCTGATACCCTTAATTATCACCAAATTCACATATAACTTCTATTTCATTATTAATTCATTATTCTCTAAATTACGAATCTTTATCGATATTTCATCTCCCTAAAATTCCCCCCCCCCCTCTCTCTCTCTCTCATATCGTCCATCTCTCAAAGTAAAATACAATAAATAAAGAGACAAAGGGAGAGACAGTCTCAACACCTTCACATTCCCTCGTGGCACGAGTCTCGAAAGGAATAAACGTTAAGGGCAATTAGGCGAGGCCACAACGCGAATTAATTTAGAGCGGGTGCTCACTCACCTAGGACAATAACTCGGGGCTCGTTAGCGGCGTACGGATGCATCAAGGGTAAGGCCGAGGGTAGCATGGCGTTCTGCATCGTCGGCTGGGAATCTATGAGGCGTTCCTGGTTCTGCGGCCTTGGGGGGCTTCTGCTCCTTGGGACGTCGAACGACGTAAGAGTGTACGATCTCGCGAAGCTCACGTGTTTCGTTTTCGGTGCTTGCGACGCGGGCGGGGGCGGCGCCGGGGGCAACACCGGCCGAGGACCCTCCAACTTCGTCGACTCCTCGTCCTCTGGAAGCCACGTGTATCTACGAGAAAGAGAAAATCTCGTATACCATTTTTCCATCCCTTCCCTAAATGTTAAATAAGATTATATTCTTTTTTTTCGAATCTTTTCTCGATTATTTGTTCAACCTCGTTTGCAATTGTGCATTAACATGTATATATATATATATATATATATATATATATATATATATATTGTATCTATCAGTGAAAATTTAATAATTTAATAATTTATCGTTCGAAACATAATAATAATCATAAAATAATTGTAGCGGAGAACGTGAGAAACGGATCGAGTATAATAGCTAACTTTGCTCGAGATTTTTAACTAGTTACTTTTTCAACGAAGTTAATGCTCCAATTCTGGTCAACTATTAACTGGCCTGCATTTTTTCGATTCTCATAATCGTTTATCGAACTTTCTAATATAATTAAAAGAAAAAAAGGGAAAATTTGTCACGAGGAAGCAATATAAAAAAAAAGAAGAATAATAATAATGTATAAATAATATATCACTTTTAAATTTGTAAACTTTGTATATCCAAAGATGGATAACTTTCAAAAAATTTCAGAATTATCTGTTTCTAATCAATGAATCTTTGATCATCCCCAATTAATCTATCATTAAAAAGGAAAGTGAATGATTAATCAATGTATCGCGATATAATCTGGATTGTCGCTATGATTTCCGTGTATAAGATGCAGAATCTCGGCATTTCTTTGAAGCAACAGCGTCGCGACACGCCGCAAATGCTTTCCCTATGCTTCAAAGACGTAAAAAAGAGAAAAAAAAAGGGGGGGGCGGAAAGGGGAACTAGGATATTTTAAGAGACAACAAACACACCTCTGAAAGAAGAAAGAACGCACCTTTGTGAAGAAGACAACTGAATATATCCTAACGTCGAAGAAAAACAAAGCGGGCTGGTCAAATATTGTTTCACAAATATTGGACCGTCAAAGCGAGGCGTACGGGAAGAGAGAAGTTTTAGAAACAGTTTTTGAAAAAAAAAAAAATAAAAAAAAAAAAAAAAAAGAAGAAAGACTCGAGTTGGAACAAAATTAATCCTTATCCGAAAATTAACTTTCGCTCTGATCAAGCCTAATAAAAGGAAAATAAAATACGAATAAATACGAATAAAACTGCGTATCCCTCGATTGGACCAAAGATGGAGGAAACGAGAAGAGAAAATTTACATTGGAAGGAGCAGAAAGAAGGACAGAGAGAGAGAGAGAGAGAGAGAGAGAGAAAGAGAGAGAGGCATGATCGTCGGTGTTATTACGGCACCCTCGAGAGCCAGCCAGGGGACTAAATGCAATTTATCTGGGTCGTTGTTGCACCGTCGCAGAAGCAACGGCTGGCGTCACCCACTTTTCCCCTAAGATAATGCCTGTCACACGTGAGGATCGCCTTCTGCCCGGCAACAATGGAAACGAGAATGTATGGGCGCGTGGCGATATCTATAATGTTGTATTTCAAATAAAAAAAAAAAAAGAAAAAAGAGGAAAAAAAGAAAGGAAATCCGGAATGAATCTATTTATCGGTTAATTAAACCGCGTGTCCTTCCGCGTGTCCTAATGTCGTCCGTTGGTAAAAAAGCGCGACGCGGTTTCTTTAGATCGTTAACGGCATTGTCACGCGATTATGAAACGTTCTTCCGCGACACCTGTTGGATCGTTGCATCGGGAGAGTGCAGTGAAAATTAATTTCGCGATCAAGCGACGATTGTACGTTTACGCCATTTTTAATTCTGTCGGTGGAAGAGATAACATTTTGTCCTTGCTTTTTGTCGAAAGTCTAAATAATGAGACTTCGAATATTGAAATGTGGTTGATTGAACTGATGCTGTTAATCCTAGGATCTGTCATCTACTAAGAGAATTGTACGATTGTTTATGTTACGAGTGAACGATTGTGAATGATTTTGACTCCGATGCGAAGAACTGTATCATTGTTGTATCATTGAATTCTGTCTTATATTCTATCCTATTTTAATTGATCTGATCTAGAAGATTGTCGCCCCTTGCCTTGTTTTTCCTCCAATCATTATTTTACGTGAAAATGCAAATTAAGAGAGGGTTGGATCTCTATTTGGATCTGGAAAAGCAATTACGAATTATTATTATTATTATTAGAAATTTGAAAATACTCGAGTTGTTGAAAAAATCCAAGCTTGTCTTCATAAGCTTCACAAATCTTCGTTCTTGTGGATCGTTTTTAATTTTTTTTAATTCAGTTAATCTCGTGTTCTTCTTTCGTCGCCATTTTAATTTTTCCTCGAGTTGGCGAGAATTAATTTCACGATTAAGGAGAGACGTCGTTGTAATTTTTTTTTGAAAAAGGAAGATATCGGTTTTATTAGGGCAACGTTAACGTTAGATACGATAGTTTTGCCTTTTTCATTGTTCCGCGAGATTTAATGTTTCTCTTTCGAGGAAGGCTTGTTTCGAAGAAATGTGCAGCCGGTTTTACATTCTGTCGTGAAAGGTTCGTTTAAAAAAAATAACAAGTCGCTTTATAGATTACCGCGTCCGCTTAAGGAAGCTTTATGCCGGGGAAATAAGAAGTCGTTTTGCAGGTTTTTATGTTCTTCTCTTCGGTCGATTTTATTTGAAAATAACAGATAATTACGTCGTTTCCTCCTCTACATCGTTACTGCATTCCTATCTAATATAAAGAGAAAATATGCAGAACAGATTAACTGGTTACTTTTCTAACCAGGTTAGAAAAATGAAAGATCAATTAACGAAAACTTTCTTTCTAGCTTTAATTTATTTATTTTACAACATTTTATTCTTCACTTTATTCGAATTTTTTATTGTAAAATGATATAAATTGTTCTATAAACCGTATTGGCTACCATTCACGGAGAAGAAACGAAGAAATGAAGATACCATCGCTGCCAGATATCGAAATATAGAACTTTTTTTTCTAAATAATAAGAAATATAAACAGTATAAACAAAATCTGTTCAATTATTATTATTTACGAATCCATCCAAATGTAATCTATCCTTCGCCACTCGCCGATTGCAAAGTATAAATACACCATTCGATTCTACGCTTCGCGCAACAGTTAAAAAAAAAAAAAAAAAAAAAAAGAAAAAAAAAATCGATGTCGGTCACGTGTCTGCATTTATTTCCGCACTTTTTCGCATCGACGCGTAACCAATGTCTAAATACAGCGTAGAACGCTCGGGGAACATAATTTTCCATCGATCGGCCACGGCCTTGAAGCAACGCCAACCAAGGCTTCTCTCTCTCTCTCTCTCTCTCTTTCTACGCGACAGCAATCAGAAATAAACGGAACCCCCTTGAACACGCCGTCAAACCCTCGTTTTCCCTCACGAAAATCGGCCCCGTAACGAAGTTTCGTGGAGCCGCGCGAGTGAAAGTTCGAAGGAAAGGAAAGGAAAGGAAGCGAAACTTAGCGAGCCGCTATCCTTCTTAAGATTCTACCGGGGATATACCGTGCAGTTTACCGTCTCTGTTCCACCCGGTTTAATTCCTCTCTGCCACCGTTTCGGAATATATTTGCGCCTTCGAATCGCGGCACCGTGAACGATGAGATATTTCATCGGTCTGCGGTGAACCACTTTCACGTACAGACGAATATTATCGTCGTTATGCAGCAAGCGGCGCGGTGTTAAATTTTCCCATACGATATTTAACCAATTACGAGCGGTCCACGAGTCGGTAAGAATCTTTCCTTCTTTATCGTTTGTCACTGTCGAGAAACACGATCTTTTTTTTTTTTTTTTTTTTTTTATATATATTTCAATTTTTTTTGGGTTTTATACTTTTTTAATTTTTTTTTACTGTTATTATTATTTTTTTTTTTAACGCGACCAGTCAGAGGCTGGTCAACGTACTACGTCAACTCGTGACAGCTGCGAGCACGTCAGGGATTAAATCCGTGGTTATAAATGAAAAGGTAGCTAGAATAATGTGGAAATGATCGATGGAATTTTTGTTGTTTAATTTAATTTTTTCCTGGAAAAAATTCTAATGATAAATTACAATCGAACAAAAAAAATTTGACGAAACCCAATTATGTCTGTCGCTCGATATTCGATATAAAGAAAAATTTTTGCAAGGAAATAAATGAAAAATTACGTCGAAATGATTATTTTTAACGAAAATTAATTCTACGTACACGTGTGTTATATGATTATATGATATATATATATATATATTTCCAAAGTTATTTTTCCGAAAGATGATCATAATCGATTCTTCGAAAATGTTTCTTATTTTAATGTGTCATGTCATTCATAAGAATTCTCCTTTCATTTCTCAATCTCTTCGAGTTGTTAATTCCATTCGATAACTTTTCAAAAAGTATATTCCGAGTTCGTGGATCCCAGGGTGAATTTCTCAATTTGGGATAATGTCGCTTGGATTACCATAATTTAATCGAAGATCTGAACGACATCTTGGAAGGAATAAGCGAAAATCAAGTTGAGATACTTTGTCGCATCCTGCCGTCTCATAATGACGGAATCGCTCGAGCTATTTTCCAACTTGAAATAATCCATGAAACAGCGTAAAGCATATTACTTCAATTCTAAATAGAAACAGGCTTTCGTCCATTTAATTTCTATTACCTTGATAATCTTCCAATCCACTTCCATATGTACTATCTAAACTCCATAAGTATCGGCCCACTTGGCCTGGATCAAAAAAATTTACATGTATCATTATTTCGATATAAAATATTTTTCGAATTAATATCCAGTGCAAAAGTGTAATAATAATATCAAATCATTTTAGACGATCGATTTCTTGAAAACTGAAAAAAGAATTTTGAACGACAAGGTAAATGACCTTACCGATAGAAAAATCTCAGAAGACTTTCTTTCTTTTCCTCTTAAAATGTATCAACTTTGCACTATTTGAACCGGATACAGGTAAAGGTACGCTAAAACTTACACAATTATTATGTTCGAAAGATCGTCTCCAAGCAACAGAACGCTTATATAAAAGATTATCACACGAACTTACCGCACAAACAACTTAATCACACGACCTTCTTTGAATCCAGGCGATAGGTATTGAGCTTCACCGCTCAAATACTCCTCGTTACACGAAACCATACACCGATCTCACGTTAATAGGCAAAACAACTAGAGTTGGGCATTGACCAACCGAATTGAACAAATTAAAAATAATTTATTCGTAGCTATTTTCATACAACCTCGATTGTTTACAATTATTTTCGATTATTAATTACGCGTTGAACAATAAATTATCGAAGTGATTTTAAATCACTATTTATTAAATTTTAATTATTAAATTTTATTTTTAATATTTATTAAATTTTAAATTATTAAATTTTAGGCAAAGTCTAAAACTATTCATTTTCGCGTTATCAATAGGCAAAACAAGAGTTGGGCATTAACTCGAATTGAAAAAGTTAAAAATAATTTATTTGTAGCTATTATAATAAATCCACTTTTTATATAATCTCGACAGTTTACGATTATTTCCGATTATTAATTACGCGTTGAACAATAAATTATCGAATCAATTCTACTCAACTATTAAATTTTAAGCAAAACCTAAAACTATTCACCTTCGTTACCAATAAGCAAAACAACCAGAGTTAGGCATTAACTGAATTGAAAAAATTAAAAATAATTTTTTCGTAGCTATTATAATAGATCTACTTTTCGCACAAGTTCGACAGTTTATAATTATTTCCGATTATTAATTACGCGTTGAACAATAATTATTCAGCAAGTAACCTTATTCGAATCAACTTTATTCAATTATTAAATTTTAGGCAAAGCCTAAAACTACTATCTTCGTTACTATATATAATATAATAAGCAAAACAACCAGGCTATTATAGTAGCTATTATAGTAGAGCTGCTTTTCGCACAACCTCGACAGTTTACAATTATTTTCGATTATTAATTACGCGTTGAACAATAAATTATCGAATCAACTCTACTCAAATATTAAATTTTAAGCAAAACCTAAAACTATTCACCTTCGTTACCAATAAGCAAAACAACCAGAGCAAATCAACTCTACTCAATTATTAAATTTTAGGTAAAACCTAAAACTATTCACTTTCGTTACCAATAAGCAAAACAACCAGAGTTGGATTATTATAATAACTATTATACTAGAGTTGTATATAGTTTTCGCACAACCTCAACAGTTTACAATTATTTTCGATTATTAATTACGTGTCGAACAATAAATTATCGAATCAACTTTACTCAACTATTAAATTTTAGGCAAAACCTAAAACTATTCACTTTCGTTACCAATAAGCAAAACAACCAGAGTTGGGCATTAATCGAATTGAAAAAATTAAAAATAATTTTTTCGTAGCTATTATAGTAGATCTACTTTTCGCACAACCTCGATAGTTACAATCATTTCCGATTATTAATTACGTGTCGAACAATAAATTATCGAATCAACTTCACTCGACTATTAAATTTTAGGCAAAGTCTAAAACTACTCACCTTTTCGGATCGGGCACGGTGCAGAAGGATCTTGGTCTGCGCCTGAAGTAGGAACTCTCGATCCAGTCAGCCTCGTCCTCCAAATCGTAACGAGAGAAACCCCTCGAGTAGGTCGGGTAAGGTTGACGATACATGATCTGGAGGGATCGGCGGGGGTAGGGGGCGTCGCAGAGGTTCTCATCGCTGGGCACGCTCCTCACGCAGGCGGAGAGGATCGAGGTTCTAGCAGAGGCGCACGGCGACGGGCCCCTGGTCGACAGGCAGCCGAAGAACCCACCCCCAGACTTCTCGACCGCGTCCAATTGCCGGCTGGTTATGCAATACTGTTCTTTGATGTCCTCCCGAGAGTAAAGGGGGGTCGCCCTACGATCCCAGTCGATGCTGATACTGCCCGCTGGCGCCACGAAACCGGCTTGCAGATCCACCTGGGTCGAGACGTCCACCTGTCACCCATACCAGGTAAGTTTTGATTAATGAGGAGAATCGATGATAGGTGATCGGGTTGGAAAGCGTTGCTCGAATTATTGTATTATTATGCGTGTAATTTAATAATGAACGAGGTATTTTTGAGAAGATTTTTGAGCAATGAAAGTTGATCGTGAAAAGATTCGAGACAAATTTTAACTTTTTCTTAGTTAAGAATTTCTTGGACGATATTTTTGTAACGAACAGATATTTATTGCGTGTACGTGATATTTCTAGTTGAAGGAAACTTTAAAAAAGAAGAAGAAGAAAAAAAAAAACACGAAAGCTATTATTCAAACGATATCCCTTTCGCGAAGTAACTTTAAAGCTGTGCGAAAAGTGATATTCTTCGAATGACAAACTTCGATAAAAGCAATTTGAAGAAGCGATCGAAAATAAACAAGAATGAAAAAAAAAAAAAAAAAGAAAAAAGAAAGAAAGAAAGAAGGAAAAAACAGCGTTAAATGTTCATTTTTCCGTCTCATTCAAATTTATCAATTTATTTTAAATCGTTAAAACTGAGATCAATTAACAAGTGACGATATCGATATTGTATTGACATCTTCACAATATCGCTCGTTCAGATTTGAGCCATTGAGAGCCATTTACGCCATTGCGAATTGCGAAATCAAATTTGTCAAATCGACAAAATAATTTATAATTTAATCGCCAATTACGATTCCCTGTCCCTTCGAAATTGTCTAAAAAATAAAAAAAAAATTATATCAATATCGAATTACACGAAGATATTTAAAATATTTGTACTTAAAAAAAATTTAATCACGAAATATACATCCGATTCCGAGATTCACGTTTCCGATGAAATTTCATCGCGATATATGTTCCCATTGTGAACACTGGCAATTTTGCGCATATTCGAACGGGTCGCTGCAATCCTCGTCAATTTCTAATTGACCCCCGAAATTCCAATTTCCATTTCTATTCTAATCTCATTCCGCTTCAAATCGATAACGTTGAAAGTGACACAACCGTCTGAAAATAGCTCCCTGCTCCGCAACGCGAGTACTCTAACTCTAACTATAAGTTTCCATGCATAACCTCAAATTGAAACTTTGACCCGTCAAAATTCTGCCAAATTTGCCAAAAATCTGACTCCAAAATACACGTGCACACACAGACACGCGTATACAGAAATATATATCGTGTATTTCCACTTCCACTTTCGACGTTTCAAAGTCATTATTCAATATCATCCTCTCGAAATCCCGCGCGCATCAATTTTATCGACCGTCGGTACTCGTCGATTTCTAATTGGCCTCGTGGAGAAAAAAAAGAAAGAGATATATATACATAGATAGATAGAGAGAGAGAAAGAAAGAGTGAGATAGAAAGGGGAAGGGGAAAAAAGAAAGAAGAGGCAAACGTTCTTTTATCCTCCATTAACGCGTCTATTCCGGTTCAGCTTGCCAATCGATCCTTGGCAGATTGATCGATACGCGCCGTGTCGAACGGAAACTGCAACGCTATTAGCGTCACTCGGAATATTGATACACGTAGCGCGTGACTTAAGAAAAAAGAAAAAAAAAAAAGAAAAAAGAAGAGCGTTTGAAAACGCGTGGAATGCTTGGACAAGTATCGAATGATGATTCGGATGGGATATTTAGATCGATTCAAATGCCTCTCACGCTTCCTCAACCGTCTCTATTCCCAACGGGGCGGGACGAATTGCGAAACTGGGCACGATGCGGGTCAGTTAATAAAATGCACCGTCGTTATACACGCTTCAAGATGGGGAGAAACTTGTAGTTTATATCGTGAACAATTTTGTTGTGCAAATTTTATATATATATATATATCGTTATCTTGACATTATTATTCTATAGTTTTATGACTGTTTTTATTATCGTTACAAACTCGTTGAGATAAATTTTTTGGTTATTTTGGAGAAATGCTATATTATTATTATTATTATTGTGTTATAACTCATATAATTTGATATAAATATTGATTAATAGGATTAATTAAGGAAAATATATAAAAATCTTTATCCCGTCGTATAAAAATTTTTGTAATCGAACTTGAACAGATAATAGATTTGCAGATAAACTCAACTTTTTGAATACAATTTTTAACCGCATATATAAATATATAAATATTATAATAAATTCGAAAAAATCTCGTTCGATGAACCGATACGTCGTTTAGTAAAACCTAAAACGATTGAAACTGTATGGAAAGAATCGTCGTTAGTTGGTTAGTTCGAAGTTTAACTATTCGATAAACTGATACGAGAGAAAAAGAGAGAGCAAAAAAATAACAACAACAACAGTTTCGAAAAGTTAAAACGTGTAGAAAGTTGGTCTCGTTTCTTTCGTTGAATTCATTATTATTTTCGCAGCTCATACATCGCGACATGACACGTTAGCTCTAATAGTAATAGTAATAATTCAAAAAATCCTTGCGCAAGATTCTCAATTCCTTTTCACGATAAAATATCCGTGAAATTAAAAGAAATCCTGAAAAATAAAATTCTCGTCAACTCTGTTGGGAGGGCAAACGTTCTACACGAGTCTCATCTCGAATCTCATCGAGTCTCGCGATAACAACGCTACTATTTTTTTTTTTTTTTTTTCTTCTTTCAACCGAAACTTTCGCCCAAAAACTCGTAAGTTTCGAGCCAACCAATTTCTCGACGGCTAAGGGGTCAATTTCCCCTTTTCCAGGGCAGATTCCTCAAGATTGCTGTAAATTGCATACACGATTAACGGCGGTCCCTGAAGGCCGATTGATCAGGACGTTAACAGGACGATTGCCATTCCAACGATTGCATTCGACGAAACTCGAACGTAACAGAATTTCGTTTCGCGCGATCGTTTCGAGATTAAACGTCTCTCTGTTAAGATTCTGTTAAACGAAAATGGCGGAAAACGCGCTATCACGAAAAAGTGTCATCAAGAGAAATCTACGACGAAATGAAATTTTCTCAACGAGAGATCCTCCGCTTATCGATCGAGCGGAATTCTCTCGGCCGAGCGTTTTCGAACTTCCTTCCCGATCGAGCATCGTAAAGGTTACGTTGTTGTAAACTGGATGACAACGTTGCTTGTTCGCGTTTAATCTACAACGTTCACGGTTTGGAGAATGGTGTTCGGTATATTATTCCATGCGCCGGTTTTCCATTTTTAATAAAATGTGTTTAAAACTTCTGAATCTTTGAAGTTCAGAGTGTACATAGCAAGATTTGTACAACATTTCAAGGATGAAAAGAAATTCCGTTAAAATTAGAAGCATTCTAATAAAATCTTGAACGATTCGTACGATTTTCAATGAGTTTTAATATTTATGCGATTGGATTTCGAAAAATTGAACGAAAAATTCGGTGAGAAATTATAGACCAGGAACGAAGCAACGTTTAGATACATATACATATATATATATATGTGTATATATACTATGTAACTGGTCAAATAGAGAGGAACTGGAAATTGGGACAATGCAGAGTTTGGAGATGATGGTGGAACTGTGTATTTGAGCTTTGTATGAAATGTTTTCAATGGTTCTGATTTGAGCAATTAAGAGTTGAAATAAATCGAACGATTAGGGGATATATATAAATAAATTTAAAAAAACTTGGAAATTAATAATAATAAAATCGAACGTTTATTAAATAATCTCTAATATATTTTATGTATGATAAATTTAAGAAACTTTCGAAATAATTCACTACGAATTCACTTTTGTCCTCTCTTCCAAGAGATCTTCTTTATCGCACGTTAATAACCATCAAGAGCGATTCTGAGCGAAACGTGATTTTATTCTATTTATGACGTAATATATCTCTGAAAGTGAAATCCCATTGGACAGATATAACACGGATGATTAAGTTTACGAAATATGATTAACAGTGTTTATAAGGGAACTTTGATTAACCTATTTGAGACTCCCTGTACGGGGATATTGATAATATCTTCTCGAAACTCGAAAATTACACGTAAATATTAAAATAATTCCGGTCAATATGGTGTTTAATCAAGTTTGCTCACAAGGAAACTTTAAATTTTCCAGAATTCGAATGAAATTTTCTCAGATCTCGTTCTCGAGGAAGATCGAATTTTCAAATTTTTCGATCGAAACGTGTTTTCAACATCTTTCGAAAATTTCTTTTGAAGAAAAAAATAAACGAAAAATTTTCACTTTGTTCTTCTTTAAAATTATCAATTTTCGACAAATATTCGAAAATTCGAAGGATTTTTATCCGTATAATTATATCATTACATCTTTGATAATATTTCTTTGCTTTTTTAAAATAACAACATCCTAATAAGACAATCCTAATAAGACAAAGAATAGTAGAAATACGATTGACGTATATATTGGCTTGCTACGTTACAGCTGTGAAAGAGAAATGTTTCAACCGAATGCTCGGGATTATCTCGTGAACTCGAAGAGAATGTAAGACCATCAAAAGTTTTTAGGAACGGCTGCATCGTGAGTGAGAGAAACAAAGGGAAAAAAAGAAAGCAGTGCATAGTAAGAGTAGAAAAATTGCGAAGTATTGTTCGCCTAGTTTAAAGTTAAAGGTGAATTACTATTAGGAAAGTCTAGGAACAACTTCCAAATAAAAAAAAAAAAAAAAAAAACAAAATAAATAAAAAGAAAAATTACAAAATTGTTACTGTAACAATTTTATCGAGATATTCTTCTAAAATATTTCTATCGTTATTGAAGTGATCCAATGGATACCGAATTCTCATTTAAAAAGCATCGGGTGTTCTAAGAGGGACAAGGAAGAAGATGGAATTTGGAAGATGTTGCTCGAGTTGTTCGAGAAGGATGCAATGGGATAAAACAGTTCGAAAAATACAGTTTCGAAAGTTTGGATAAAAATATGCGGGAAAAACAGAGAACGGGCGAGAAAAAAAACAGAAGAAAATTGGAGGAGAGGGGATGAGAGAGGGGAAAGGGCGATGAGTGATGAGAAAGTTCTATATTGAATGAAGAAGTTAAAGTTTACAAG